GATAACACCGGCTTCCTGTTGATGTCAAAATCCGCTTTGTTGGCTACACAGAAATATGCTCTCAAGGGTAAAGAAAAAAGTGAGATGTACTGTAGCATATTAAGTAAAATATGAACACATCTTCTGTTAAAGTTACTAATTCACATTTCTCCCGAGAAATTACTTAGAGTAAATAAGTGTTATTTTACCATTAAAATCTGATATGATCACTCAGTATTTTTCTTTTCTTTTAAGATAAAAACACACACACACACACACACACACACACACACACACACACACACACACACACACACACAGTGTCCTGCCCCATGGTCTGACTCCAACCTACTACATATATCAGAATGTGTAGTTGATAATGTTTTAGATACTGAAACTAATTCTAACATCTATTTTTTTCACATTGTGCTATAAGGTTATAATTAGACTTGAATAATATAAATATAGCCTACAGAGATCATCTCTAGTAATACAAGCTGTGAAGGTGGTGGAACTGCTGGTCTCCACCTTAAGTTCTTATTTTAAGTTTTCTTTCTTTTTCATTTTCCATTGGTTTTAATAGTCTCATCTTTATTTCTAAAAAAGCATGGTTTTCTGTAAGTTTAATAGATGTTTGAGAGAGGTTTTTAGAAGCTACTACGATACCCATGAGCCACGGCCTCCGTTTCTATGGAGAAGAACGACCAGTATGGCATGAGCATACACGTGAGATCCCAAAATTCGGGAGTAGACTAGCTACTTAAATTTAGCATCAAGGTAATTATTATAACACGTGACTGGTTGGGTTTAAGATTAGGTTTAGATTAAGGCAAGGGGAAATACCTGCATACGGGGGAAATACCCCCTCACCGCAATTAAATTACACCCGAGGCCTCGTATCTAAGTAACGCTAACCAATTCAGAACGATTCGAAATGCTTTTTGGGAGTTGTAGTTGTTTTCTACCCGTGACTCCCCTTATGTTTTTCTGCATTTAGCCTTGTGCCTTTGACTTTTTTTAAAAGAACCTCATATATTTAAGGCGTAGTTGCAGATCATTTGTAAAGTTTTATCCCTATACAGGTCTTAGATTCGCCAACTGCCAGTCGCCTAACACTCTGTGAACAGGGAAACGAAGTAGGCCTCACCTTCAAACGGCCAGTTTACCGTCTCCATGGTTACTCTGGTAAATACTGAACAGGTCGTTGGTATCGATGTCTGCAAGAGAACATCCTTAAAAGCACGGTTTTAATTGAATTACGAAGATGAGTGTATCTGTCACTCGCACAATTCCTAAGAAAAATGATGCCAATAAAAAATCTGTTAGGCGGCAACGGGTTTATGACTACTTGTATGGTGAGTAGACTTGACTATACGCCAGCTGACGTGAGCTAACTGTGAAAACTAGCTATTTTACCTCGCTTGGTTGACATTTAACGTTATTTCTAACTTGTTAATCTGTCGCTACAGATCCAGTTTACACAGTGTCATCGGAGGTTGACCATGCAAGGTCCAGCCTCAAGGCCTATGCTTCTAAGGACCGAGTCGTAAGTTGTCATTTGGTTTACAAGGAAATATCGGTTGTGTTTTTATTATTAGAGATATGGCATCACATAGAGTTAGATTACAGTTTTTCTCTATCGCTTTCATTCATTTCTCACAACAGAATTGAAGTTTGCAGATCTCCAAGTGCATTTCTCAAAACAACACGTACAAACTGCACAACATAGTGGATAACCGGGAAAAGCGCGTCACCTGCTCAAAATGCTTTGTCTATCGTGCAAAAGTGTGTTTTTTCATCAATCATTGTGTCAGAGGCAGCAGAATCCCATGTCATTTCCTCAACAATGTGAACGTGACAGGCAAAATTATTAGTCATGTTGTCAGTAGAACATCATACTCAGTTTTTGTTATTTACTGTAAACTATACTCAACTCAGGTTTTGATGACTAGAAACCACTAAATTACCATACTGGTGTGTGTCATAATTTACAATGTCCCTTCGGTAAAAAAAAAAGAAGTGATTCTTGCAAACCATTGTGCATCAACCAGGTGTTACAGTAATTTACAAGGTTAAGAATAGATAATTATCTGAATGATTCCATCTAACCTCATCTAACCAATCACCATCGCCCCACGTTACAGTATATGGAAGAATCGAAACAAAAGATCAGACTGTACTCACATTTCTACTGTACTGTCAATAGTGGTACTTACATACAGACAACAAAGGAAACTATACATAGTCTATTTACCTAGCAATGGAAACATACTGTAAAAAAGACAAAGTGGGAAGAACTATACATGTACAACAGAAGGTAAAGGTGAGATTACGTGGCAGTTTTCCTATGCGTCATGTCGGTCCTGTCTGTTGGGCCACAGATTCTCATCCACATCACAACATATATTTTGTCTTGCTATGCACCGTGGAAAGAATCTTCTTGAGTGCCTACCCCAGCCTCTGCATGCATCTGCTGGGATGTCCTCACATGCTGCATCCATGGCAGCCAGCAGTGTCATCCGCGTATGTGGCTGATGATCATAAACCTTCCACCGCCAAGCCGAGAAAAACTCTTCAATTGGGTTCAGGAATGGGGAGTAGGGTGGAAGGAATTCAATCAGCATCCTGCGGTGGTGGACAAACCACTGCCTGATGTTGTCAGAGCGATGGAAACTGACATTATCACAAATTACTACATACTTTGGTACATCATCTCGATTGAGGTCCCTCTCATCTTCAGGAATGACATTTCTATAGAGATTGTCTAAGAATGTAAGGAGATGCTGTGTGTTGTACGGTCCCATAATAGGAATATGAGCTAGCACACCTTGGTCTGACATAGCAGCACACATAGTGATGTTTCCTCCCCGTTGGCCTGGGACATCAACAGTAGCTCTCTGGCCGATTAGATTTCTACCACGCCTTCTGCCTTTGGCCAGGTTGAAGCCAGCCTCATCCAAGTATATGAAGTTGTGAGGTGGTTCTCTTCATTAACAAAGGAGAAGACTCACCTGAGAGCAATTTCTCAATTCTGGACATATTTCTTAGCAAACATCTACTCACACTTTGTAGAAATCTGTACAGACATACAATTCTGAGAACATGTTCACTCATTTTGATAGTACAGACTTCCAACCTGAAAAAAAGACTAATTGGTTTGGTGGTTGTGACATTTCAGCTGAGAACCAGGACAAGTTATTTTGCACAGCTGGACAAAAGCAATAAGAATTGTCAAAAACAGCTGACAGATGTACAGAACCATTTGCATGTTGTCCAAAAGCCATTGCAATTTGATGAAAACAACAAGAAATTGCTGATATGATGTGAACAACTGACAACAGAATCTGATGGTTGAACAAGTAGTTCTGAGAAATGCAGTTCTGTTGTGAGAAATGAATGAAAGCGATAGAGAAAAACTGTAAGACCTATCAAGATACTCTAACCATCTGATTAAAGAATGTATTAATTTTACCACAGTACACGCACAGAAGTCAGAAACAACAGGTATTTTGGTTCATAGCTTATAGAAATGAGGCGTGTTCTGTTAGGATAATTTGTATTATATTATAGATGTTGTTTTGTATACTAGTTTTGTTGCTTATAGCTCCTAAGAATCCACAAACATTTGCTAATAATGACAAGATGTTGTCATCAGCTATTCACAGAAACATTACTCACCATTTTATTCCAGAATAGTGTTGACACGTTTTTAAGATACAGATACCTTCATTAGATAGCAGCATGTAGAGTCTGCAGTATTGTTTAGGGTTAATTAATATAGATTTATAAATACATATATTTGCTTTCACACCAAACGCCCACTATGTGTTTATTTCTCCCTCCATTAAGTAGCCTACCTGTGCTTCCCTGGCCAAATGAGCCCAGGCCAAAATTATTTCTTAGTTTTTACTGTTTTCACATGGGAGTAAAGAAATGAACTGGAAATGAAATGCATTTGCTCACAGTATTTTTCTCTTTATTATTAAGAGGAGAGTTCCAGAGTTTGGGTCTATGTTCAGTAACCTGGCCCACCACCCACGGTATAGTCTTCAGCTGGACCCTACAGACCCAGTACCAGCCTCCATCGATCGTCGCTGGCGTGGCCACACGGAACAGCGTAAAGAGGCGCTGCAGCAGCTGGCTGGGTAACACAAATAGATACCATTTTACTAAGCAGCACTACTTAACGGAGCTGTATTTAATCAAGGTTAACGCTGTTACTCATTACGAACATAAACTGTGTTCTTGACATGTTTGTCAGTTTGTGTTTGTGATTCCTAATTATCTTCTTCACAGGGTTATTCCAAATGCTCAGTCATGGCTTAAAAGGGAGGAGTGCGACGTGACTGGAGTTCATCGCTGGAAATACTTTAAACGGTTTGATTAGCCAGACTGCAATTTGAAGCTGTCAGTATGATGGAATACAGTCAACCTAACTTAATTGTGTCACAGTTATCTCTGCCTGGTACTGTTGCAGTTTACATAAGGTCACTGCCATGCTGCCCACATTTCTGCTGTAAATACTGACACAATCTCTGATATGGTGTTCCATTCTGTTTCCTTTAGCCCTCTGATTCCCTTCACTCACCAGATCCCACCAGATGTGATTTTTGCTTTGTCAAAGTAAGTTCAAAAGGTTATTTTCAGATGGTTTTGCCGTGACCTTTTTGCTGGCAGGCGTATATCCTCTCTTTTTGTCACCTCAGAGACTCTGGCACCACTGGTGAAAAAACCGCTGAGCAACAACCAACCCACACTGTGGGGGTCCAGACAGACTACAGGGAAAGTGAAACACAAACAGACCCATACAGCCCTGAATATGTGATACAACCTGGAGCAGATCCCTCAGAGCTCCTCCAACTAGCAGCTTTGACTTGGGGTACAAGATAACTGTTCAAATGTTAATCATTTACAGACTATAATGTATATTTACCATGTGAAAACCCTAAATCTGCAGCCTTCCTATAGGACCTCTCAGATGAATAGTCTACCTGTATATTTAGTGTCTTTTAATTAGCTTAGTTATGCCTTTCTACAAGTTACATTTATGATAACTATTCCCCCTAGGTCGTGGTCTGCCTGCAGGCCTGGCAGAAGTGGAAATGATAAAGCGGGCACGTGATAAACGAGTCTGGGAGGCCAGTCTTCCTCCACTGCATGACTTGAATCAGCTTGACAAGAGGCGGCGTATGATGGAGGAGATGGAGGCCAAAGAGTGGGCTTTCAGAGAAGGAGAAATCCAGAAGTGAGTGGTACTGCTGCACTTCAGCCACTTTTTAACTTCTAATCAGAAAAGAAAGTAAACCACTACTTACCTAAATTGTTGTTAGTGCTACCTGTTAGCACATACATCTTAGGCAAGTAGTATCATAGGTTAGGCCATCTGTCATCACAGTAGCATGCTTTGCTGTCTTTTTTGATACTGCTGTTGGGAATGCAAAAGTTGAAATGTCAAATTTTACATATACTGGGAGCAGTGTATTGGCAATACATCTTACATTGACAACAGGTCAAATGACATGTAAATGTGTGTAAATGATGTGTAAATGTGAAAGGGTCTCTTGTAATGAACCCTCAGAGAACTGTCACCTGACACTCGACAAAGCTTTGTTTCACAACTGCAACTCCACTGCTGTGGTTCACTCTTTTCTCATCAGGATCATTTATTGTACACTCACAGTGTCAGTGTTGCATTCATAGGGTTTTTGTGCTGCCCCCTAGTGGCCAAGTAAGGTTTAAGCAGAGGGAGAACAGGTTCACAAAAAGAGTTGTGTTTAAAGGCAGTTTCTTTAATTCACTTGCCACAAACATATACTACTTGGGGCTAAACCAAGATATATAGGACATATCCAGTTATTGTCTTATTAGGAAATACTGATGAACCCTTCCTCCCCTTTGATGTTTTTACTGTGTTTACCATGCAAATCCTGCTCTCCTGCAATGCCCTCTGTTTCTGTGGGGGGCGGGCAGGTTGCAAGAGGCTCGTCTTTCTTTGCTGGAGGACCTGCTGAGGCAGAGAGATGAGGCCCAGAAAGAAGTCACAAATGAAAGACTGAAGCAGATATCTTCTAAGTACCAAAAAGAAAAAGACACCAAGCTACACAAGATCCACAATGACTACATCAGGTGTAAGAATGCCTTTGCACTAACATAATATTCTGTATAATTATGTGTTATTCAAGACTTTGTTTCACTCCCTCTCATCCATCTCTTCTTTTTCATTTTTGTTTTGTTTGTAGCATTAAGAAAACTGGAGGCTAAAAGGAGAAATATGGAGGAAAAGCTAGAGCGACATGGCATTGTCAAACACTATGCAGATTCTCAGGCATACTTTTCCCAGAAGCACATGAACACATTCCTCAATTGGAGCACTGTCAATGAGTTTAAAAGCTGCTACTTAAACACATATGAAGGTCAGGATCTAATTCCCATAACAGCACCTCAGAGATAAGATTAGCCCTTTACTGTTAAGATAACGTTGAACTTCCTGTCAATCATAGGCTTGGTAGAGCTAGAGGCAGGACACTCTGCCTCAGTGCTCAAACCACCCAAGTCCAAAGTCACCATTAAGTCCCCTGGGAGAAAAGCAGAAGAACTGTTGAAGAAATACAAGGTAAAGCAAAAAAAAAAAAAAAAAAGAAAGAAAGAAATATCATCACCATGCATAGAGCCTAAATTCTATATACACATGGATTACCAATTGTGCCTACACAGGTTCTGAGGGAGGAGGAGAGCAAGCGAGTGACAAATAAGCCTTTGTGTTTTCTTGTCAAGAAAGAGAAACCTGTTCCTCGTCCTGTCACTCCCAGAGTGGAGGAGCCACCAGAGGTCATCTAATGTCTCTGACTCAAACTGACATTAACCTTGATCCATGTAACTGTGTAATAGAGATGTTATTTGTTAATTAATTTATATGTTCCTTATTAGGGGGATGAGGAGCTAGAGCTCGCAGTCATCCATTTACAGAAATTATTGAGAGGAAGAAGTATTCAATATGAGGTTTGAACATGTCTGCATACACTTGTGTGTTTACCTGTACATCTGTGGCTTTTTTATGCCTGAAATGCTTACAGAAGACAATTTGCATGTGTTTCAAGTTGTAAGGACATCTCTATTCACTTCTATCTTGGTTGTACAGATGTATAAGGGAAAGGAGAACCATCTGGAGCTCATCCAGGAACTAAGAACTATCCAGGCGCTGCAGAGGGAAGAGCAAGAGCTTCAGAAAGCGGACAAAGAGCTCATAGTCAACCTAAGAAAACAGCGAGACCAACACAGGCACAAGGTAAAACGCAAGGGCACATTTACATACAATTTTTTTACATATGAGAACAACCTCATTATGTCCTCTCTTTTCCCTCCCAGACCTCTCAAGAGGAGGCATCTCAGGCCAGAGTGGTAGGTGCAGAGCTTGAATACCTGTTTGACACCTTGTCGAAGGAGCTGATACGTCTCCAGGAGGAGCGCCGGATCCATGCCTTCACATTGTTGGCCGAGAGAGACCGTCGCCTACGAGAGGCTGAGGAGAGTGGAAGACGACAGGTGGAGGAGCGCAGACGCAGAGAAGAAGATGAGATCTTCAGACAAGTGTGTAACGTTTCTGCTACAAGTGTGTTAATGCGATTAATACATGTGTGTAGGTGGTGGTGCACATATTTTAATACTTGTGTGTACATGAGTCTGCATGTCCTTAACACTGTGTCACAGGTGGTGCAGGTACACCAGGAAACTGTGGATATGTATTTAGAGGACATCATCTTGGGGACTATGGAGCAGACAGCTGATGAGCAGGCTAGAGAGGAGATCCACAGGAGGGCAAAGGAGGTCAATGACATCGCTTACAGCTTGGAGGAAAGGTAATGGACACCTCATCATGTCTGCTGATACTTTGTATTCAGCTCAAACCCAAGGATAATTTTAAAAAATAGTCATTTGTATGTGTTTGATTAGCCGGAACAATCTTCAGTCAGAGGAGATTGTGTCAGAGTTGGTGTACGGTTTCCTTATCCCGGAGGTCGAGAAGATCGGTGCCAGGCAAAGAGGTTGAGAAAATTTTGTGATTCCACTGTATTCACACATTAGTACCATTGAATACAATATCAAAATTATTAAAACTTATGAGTAGACAGTACTAGTAGTTGTTTTAGAAGTAATAGATAAATGCCCTTTCCAAAAAAAAAAGGAATGACAGGTGAATGATAAAGTTAAAGCTTTGCTCACTAGCCTTGCGATGTCTCTTTGTGTTGTCTCTTAGTGCACCAGAGGCAGCAAAGACACTTGCAGGCAGCTCGGAGTATCGTTCGGGGGACCTCAGAGCACTCTGGGGCCCTTCCTAGTTCAGTGGGGGCCTCACAGTTGACCTGTCCCTCTGAAAGGGCCTCAAACCGAATCCTTAAGGAGATGATCAGCCAAGGGGAGCAGGAGCATGGGAAGGAAACAGAACAGCACCACACTCAAACTGAGTAAATAGAGTAATAAAAGTATGAAAAGTGTCCTGAGATGCAGTTGAATGTCTAAATTTGTTTTGCAGTCATATTATTAAAGTCTAAGTATCACAATCATCATTGTAGGTTTTTTTTTGGGTTAATTGTAGCCTTTTAACGATCACTACTTCCATGTTTCTTCTAAAACGTACAGTATATTCCCACCTATTCCGATGGGGTATGAGACAAGCTACATCCACATCAGGGGACTCAGAGCTTGTCTAACTTGGACCCCAGATGGTGTTATTATACACCCAGTATGATATTTACTAGGTCAGAGCTGGTATCCATTTCCCAAGTGGTGCCTCTGCACTCCAAGTCTGAACATTATAACCTTAAACTGAACATCACAACCTTCATAAAGGTAGGTTTTGTTGCAGGAATATTAAATTAGACTGCATTCATTTTAGCTACAGTGTAGCTGTACCTAAATGGGAGTGAAACCCTATGGAGTCATTTCTGAGCACTAGAGGGCAGAAAAACTCCACACTAAACGACCAGTACTGAAATAAATAGTAGTGACGTCCTATCAAATTGTCATATACAGGTAGTTTGGAAGTGCCCAAGGACTTGATGACAGCAATATATAGCTTTTAAGAATGCAGCTTAGAAAAAAGTCTTACCTTTTGCAGTTGTCATAGGCCTAAATGTAGCACAGGCCAATGACAAGACTCCAAAAATGTCTATTTGCCAGCACAGCAGGGTCACAAATCATTTAGAGTGTGACCTCAGCACTGACAATGTGATGCATGCTGAGTGTCACAGCTGGTACTAGGGTAGCAGAATTATAATGGTTATATACTGTATATATAAATATATAGTTTTAGTGCTGGACGTCCAACCTTGCCTTCCCGAGAGCTGCAGCCAGGAATACTTGTAGCAACCAGTCTGGTATCAAACAACAAACATCACGTCAAGCACATTTTCACCCGTTGAGTACATTAACCCTTTGGGAGGTGAAACCTTGTGGTCTGCGTACCACTTCTTTGACATCTGGACTCAGTGAGTTGAATGGTCTGATCACAGTTTTATTAAGACTCCACCTTTAAGGAGAGGTAGGAAAATGAGTATTTTCATCACATCCAGACATTGATAGAATCTCTACAGGCTTGATCTTAAAGATTTGAAACCAGCAGTTATGATTAACTTTGATTAAACCTTTTGTCGTGTTGTCATGTTTTTATAGTTGCACCTGATTTCAGTTGGATATAAAAGCCTAAAACTAAATGACAGCACTATGATAGCCATATGAGTAGCCACAGGTCGGTTCAAAGGGGGGGGGGGGGGGGGGGGGCAGGCCTTTAAACAGACATAAGGGCAAATTTGTATAAAAATACAAGTCAATATGTTGAATGTTCTCTTGATTATATGACTACTGAAAATACAACATTATAAAGTATTTGGATCTTTATATCGCTCAAACAGATGAATGTGGATGCAAATTTTAGCCCCAGATTAGCATTCCAGTAGTAGTGGACGTGATGAAGTAAGACCCTACCCTCGTAGCCTACTGGACATAAGATTAAGCCCCAGGGACATACCTACCAAAATGAATTTTGTCCTACGAGTTTTGGCCACCCTTCATGACAACGTAGCGTACCCAGCAGTGTATTAGCTACTTTGAACTGTGGATCATAACAAAATATGGCATCAGAGCATCAGTGGGAAACTGACCTGTTTGCTCCAAAACAGAACTAACTAAATTGGACTACAGTATAGCTTGGGGTTAGGCATATACCTGATTCCTTTTCTACCATTATATGGTATTTGGCAACTACTGACTGCCAGCATCAAGAAACTTCATAATGAGGCCTTATTGGAAGTAATATAAGAGGCCCTACTCTATACAAATGCTGAGCTCTGTTGAAGCTGTGCACTATTCACTGTACTGCAGTGCTTCAATTTCTCAGCACTTTACTTGGTATTATTTAATAGTCTTTGAGAGAGAAATGGTTTCCCACTGTGTCAATTTAGCCTCAGGAAATGGATTATAAGTAGAGTTTTAATAGGCATAATGAATCCATTGAGCCTATTCATATACGTCACTGTGCCTTTCATACAAGAAATAAAATAATGATTCATCCATAATATTGTTGTCTTGTCTTTGTATTTGAAGGCAAGAGCCTCACAGCTCAGTACTTGCATGGCTCCTGTTCTGTAAATTATTTGAAATATCATAATATTAGCAAGTAAACTTGACCTCAGGGTGTTGTTTGTGCTTGCCAACACTTTTGGCAATCCCTGCCACTTCTTATAGAAACAGTGCTGCACTTGAAGCTAATCAATATAATGTCTGATTATCCATCAGGTGAGAATGAGCATGAGGGCCACTGGAGCGAGGACCATCCGTGAACTGCTGACAAGGCAGGATGAAGAGGACAAGCACGAGGTGACAGGTGACAGAATATGAGGAGCCCACTGCGTGTGGTGTGCGTGGAGATCAGGCCAAAGGTTATTGCTTCAACTCCTTGACGTGTGAGGGCTGCAAGGGCTTCTTCAAGTGCATTTGTTTCACTTACCCTCCCGTCACTCTCTTCATCACAGCAGTGTTGCAGCTTCTCCCTCATCCTAGCCGTTGATGCTCTGTTCTGTATTTATACTTTGTGGTTGTGATATGATGAACTTCTGTGATACGCTGTAGGAGAGAGGTAACAAAATGCATTTTTCTCAAATTAATATAAGCTTGAAACCATGAAGGCAGATTTACAGTGTCCTAAATACTCCACCTTTATTCACAACGTCTGTCTGCTGTTTGGTGCAGAGACTTGTAGAGTCAATGCCACAGCATACCGGCGGCTGTTCTGGTGGCACGGGGTGGCCCAGCATGTTGTTTTCTCCTTCGTCACCCTTCTGTAACTAAGAACTAAGACCTATGTTTCCATGGTAACAACCAGTGACACCTGCTGACAAAAATGGGGCTAACATGACTCATAATTTGGGGTTTTGGTGATAACAGTGTGGAGTGAGCAGTGAGAACATGAAGTGCCTTTGGAAGGTTTTTTGTTCTATTGTTACATTGTTGGCTTTTTGTTTCCAGTAACATATCCTTGTAATTTTTTCCAAAAGGTATACTTTTGCTCCTGGAGTGAGGGGAGCTGAGAGGAACTGAGAGGTTTGATATAGCCATGTTGTTTGGAAAAAAAAATCTCAATTCAAATCACAATTCATAGCAAATTAGAACCACTATATATAGTCAACTAGCCTGGCACAACAGACCAGCAGACCCCCGCCCCCATCTCACTCCTGTTGGGTTCCATTGCAAACTACCACTCTGAATGCAAATTTCACGCTCTGGACATGCTTGTAGATACCGCAAGATGTTATCTGTGGGCAGTCAGACATGTAATTACGTGTGCACTCACACATCTTATTACATGTTTTCAGAGATGTGACATGACCCCTAGATGAACTCTTCCTAGAATGTTGTCAAACCGGTGTTGTCTGTTCCTTTTTGAACAATGAAACAAAGTGCAGGTGACATTCATTCATTGTCTTCCTGCTCTGCATTGTCTCTCAAAAGGTCCATTTGATATTTAGGTGATTATTCAGACTAGAAGGAAGGTGCTTGTTAAAATTTCACACAAGATCGTTTTAAGCACAGTTCTGATCGACACTTTTGTCACTAGTCTAGGTCAGTGTGCACGGTTTATTAAACTGCATGTTACCACAGCAACAATAAATCCTTACACTGTTTATTACTGAATAATACGTCACCGCACTACGCTACCAGCAGCTACTTGAGCCTTGAGCAGAGATGAGGAACAGGAATATGGAGGCAAGTATAGTAATGCTTCCTCACTTTGATGTTTGGGGGCTGGCTTGTTTGCAGTTTTCTTGGGATTTTAATGGAGGTTTGATTTAGGTCTGTCTATGTTCACAGGGTAGACTGGTCCAGGATAAGGTTGAGGTTCGGGATGGGGGTAGGCTCTACCAAAAGAGGAGAAATGATAATTCTGCTGTTGCCTTTTTTAAATGTGTGTTCTTGGCTGACTGATGTTACAAATATTAGACTGCAGGTACATGTACATTTAGGAGTCGCCTCTGTTTTATTAGGCTTAGCTAGCTGCTGCTGGATGGTCAGTAAAACCCTGCCTGCATGTTAAACTGCAGTTACTAAATTTGTGTTAATAGATGCACCGTGAGGGTGTGGGTGACTTGGAGTCATTTCAAGGAGTGGATCTGATTAACAAAAGTAAAATAAGCTATTAAACGCATTACTTTTGCTGCTTTGTAATTAGTTATGTCATTACCTTTTCAGCAGATCATGTGTGATGAGTACCTGGTTACATTTTACAAGTATCCTGCCCAACACTACCACACAGTAATCTCCAGCTGAACTTCTGGTATTGGAGTTGCACTGTGGGTAATGTATGCCAGGTTTTCACAAAGAAGAAGAATGTGTGGACTAAAAATCTCTGGTTGTGCTGTGAAGTGGAAGGAAAATGATATGTGGTGAGCAGTAAAAGTATTGACTCGGAGGATGAATACATATACACGCCACACTTTTCAGATTTTTATTTGTAAAAAAAATCTTGAACACCATGTATCATTTTCCTTCCACTTCACAATTATGCAATACTTTGTGTTGATCTATCACACAAAATCCCAATAAAATACATTTAAGTTTGTAGTTGTAACGTGATAAAATGTGGAAATGTTCAAGGGGTATGACAACTTTTGCAAGGCACTGTATGTCCTCTCATAATAGAGGTGGTCTGTAAAAGCCCCTGTGATGACATCTGATCCAGGCTTTTACAGTACATGGACAGCTCAAGCACTCTGGAACCGCCTGTGTTATTTAATAGTGGAAACACCAAACTGAAAACTAGCTAAATGTGTTGTTTTAAAAGAAAGTATTCTGCTGTTGTTATTGTTGTAAAAACAAGTCCAAATACTAAAAATTATATTTTGTCATGTAACAGGCACAGATTACACACTGTCCTGAACAGATGAGGATGTTCACCTCACAGTCTGAGTGAGTCAGGTCCTGCAGAAATGCACTGTCATCTGTTCCCTGTACACGTCCTGCAGATTAGAGAAACGGGGGTAAAGCTGTTTTAGGATAGGAGGAGGTGAGCGCTGGGCTCTGTGTTTCTGTGTTGTACGCGCAAGAACATATCTGGGCTGCGCTGAGCTGAGTGCATCACAAGGTCGCGCACACAGGCCTAGCAGCTGACATCACATATGCAGTATTATTTCTTGTTACAAAAATGGTGAGATATGTTGTATACCCACTACTAAAATAATATACCATGACGATCAGTATCAAGTACTGAACAGAATCAGAGCTGGATCACGGCTATTTGATCACATCCTGTATCCAAAACTGTACCGAGCAACCCCGCTGTGTTTATACTTATTGTGCATACAATTCATACATACAATCCCCGATATGAATCTTGTGTCACAAACTTAATTTACTGGGATTTATAAAGTGAAAAACATGCTCACTAAAAGAACATGGAACAGACAAAGAGCTTGATCATTTCCAGGCTATCCTACTCTTTATTTAATGCAAATTACAGTACCAGGGAACTATTCCTCAGAGCACGCAAAGGGAATATTTACAGAGGCGCACATTTAGCATACCTTCACAGAACAAAAGAAAATAAAAACAAAAAACAAATGAAATAAAAAAAATAATTCAGTCACAAACAGAGGCATTCAAGTAGTAGTACTGTTATACAGGATGTTTCGTAGTATTTTTTTCTATGATTCTTCTTTTCTATAACCCCAGTTAGCATATTAAACTAGTACATATACAGTACCGGAGTATTATACTGGCATATACTCACTTGAACTCTTTTTTGGTAACTTCTGTGGTGTCTTTATTGAACTGGAGTTAGGGGTAAGGTGAAGTGGTCAGACTTTCCCGTGGAGGGTAACAACATGTTCATGAATGCAGAACTACAGCAAGCAGGAGACGGGAGAAAGGCTACATGACTCGACCCCTTTAGGTGCTACTGAATTCCCCCTGAATATGCAGACAGGGAGAAGAAATAGGCAAGAGGACAGAGAAATCAACTATTCAGAGAGAGGAAGAGAGTCAGAATATATTATTGCCTCTGAGGATGCCTCATCAAAAATACATCATAGTTTGGCTTTGGTAGCAGAACCAACACTGTGAGTAATACAGAAACCGCACTGTATTGTAAGTATACAGTACACGAGGCCTTATTCTTTAAAACCCTGACTGCCATCCACAACACCCCCACTTCACGCCCCAGAGTCCATGCCAGGACTGTTGTATACATGTTTGTGTGTGCATGTGTGTCCAAGATAAAACATTTATTAAAATAAACACTTGTGTACTTTATCTTCAGTTAAGGAACATATCCTTACAATTCACACATCTGCATATCACATTAAGTGCGCAATGAAAAAGGGGAAAGGAGGTGGAAGTGAAAGGGGCTGGAGATCTAGTGGAAGTGTGTGCGTGTTGCTGGATAGCAGGACATTCAACAGCACCAAAGGGAGAGTCACAATATGTGGGAGGGGGTGAAGGGTGGGGCAGGGAGGAAACAAGGCGAAGGTGTAAGAAAGCAAAGGCACTCCAAACTATAGTTACACTATACATGACTAGTTCTTGTTACAATAATACAGCTGTCATCTACCGTACTGTACAGGTAAGATTGAACATATGGCTGGATAAAGCTGATCATCGTCATCATCTACAATATCCATAAACATCAGTTTTGCCCTGATGGTTTT